ACGGATTACCTTTGCAAGATACGGTACATAACTTTGTTATTAGCACGTCCTTTTCATTCCAACACGATGGCATGCCGGCACTGTTGAGCTAGAGCACTTTGTGGGAGCTGGGCGATGCAGGTCCAAGCTACCTCCGACGAGTGTCACGTCAGCATCGGGTTGCCATAGAAAACATTGGTCCCGAAGCGCTTACCAAGACGCGGTTCTGGCACTTTGATTGACACTCACGTGTCCGCTCTTGAACAGGGATTTACATGGTTCTTGCTGACATTCTCCCTGCTCCGAGATATCTCCTTGGACGTTGGCTCGCTCCTGCATCCCCGAGGCCGCAGCAATCATTTGATTCCACGTGTGCCCTTTGCAAACGAGCGGCGCGGGCCGCGTCTTTTTAGCAACGATGACAGTTGTGTAGCGACGGACTTTGTACGAGTCGACGAGGGTGGTTAGCCAAGCCTCGGCATTATGGCCCGTTTAAATCGTGGTAGCTGTAATAATTGAGGGTCCACAAGGCTGGAACAGAAGAGAACTGGCGCTCATAGTTTTATCTCACAAGCTCGCTCCCAGTTGCTGTTCGGGCATACCGCGCAACACCGATATATCTTCCGGTTTTTATAGAAAGAAAAACAAACATGAATAATGAAATAACACCACGCACTAAGACACAGACAGAAGGCAAATACAATAGAAAAAAAATTGCATAAGAAAGTATGGAACTTGTTCAAATGCTCCACTTCTCGATGATCTTGCAAGTGTCGGAGCCTCATCTGTCAAAGGCGGTGATTCTGGGGATGGATGCGTGCTGGGTTGCATCTGGAATACCGTGCGGTGACTGTGGAGCCTGCAGTGAAGTCTGCCGATTGTCGCCAGGAGGCTGCTGCGGTCAATCCAGGCAACCAGAGAATGCCTCAGACGTCTTCAACAAATGTTTCTCCTGTCCGTCTGTCAAGTGTACGAGCATGGCCCAGCAAAAGCGGTTCCTCTCGCTGTCTCGGCCCAACAGCCTTTTCCTCGCACGCGGACCGCATCGCCTCTCTTCAGGTCCTTCAGCAACGTTCCAGGCTTGTTTTCTTGCCTCTTGCATACAGGATTTCCCGAGTTTCGGCACCATGTAATAATTGAGAGTCCACGCAACTTGGATACCAGAAGAGAACTGGTTTTCGTGGCTTTATGTCACGAGCTCACGCCTTGCTCCGAGCTGCTGCTTGAGCGCAAAGCCGATACAGTAGCGTTGACATTTCACTGCACGGACACGATCCCCAGACAAGCATTGGTGAAAAGGCTGCCTGTGTTTGCTATTCAAAATTCACGTGCTCCCAACTCAGACGAGCTCTCCGATTGGTTGTTTGTGTTTCCAAAGTCACTGTCGCCATAGACAGGGTTGACTTTGGGCCCATGCGGAGCCCATGCGGGAGGGATTTTCCTATGTTCCCAGCTGGTTACTTGTATGTCATCCGATTCTCCTTAGAGAATTTCTACCAGTCTTCCGATCTTCTCTTCATTATAAAATTGCATTTATCATCCATTCTTTCATTCTCGACTACAAAGCCCAGCGCTCGGGTGAAATCCGTCGCCCCCTCCATGAGGGCTTGTGCACCTCAAGAGCCCACGTCGCGTGTGCCCCTTGGCATACAGCACAAAGCAGATCCATTCCCTTCTACTTGGTCCTATATATTCTCGTACTCCTGTTTACAGTATTTATTACTACCTCCAAGGCCCTGGAACAGGACATTATACCAGGGATGGGCTGCTAAAAAGCATAAACACTCAAGACAAAACCTGAAAAGAAAAAAATTATAAAAACTTCAAACATTCAAAAATACCCCCCTCTTGTGGAATCAAAAATTTACCCAATTTTTTTTTTTTCTCAATACATTTATATTGCTAGTTCTGAGTATGTCGTCGGGTAAAGCGTTCCATTCAATTATTGTGAAAGGTAGGGAAGTTTTAGCTTAAAAAGTGGTGGATGCACATATTATACCTGTTTTCACCTCAAGAACCATAGGAAAAAAAGTCCGGCTTCTCGCGGATGATTACTAATTTTCACCTTTAGGTGGACATTTAAGATATATTTATTAGCATTTTAGAGTGGATACACGTCATCTTATCAAGGAGTATACGTTTCAAACGCCAAAAGCATTGCCTGTGCCTCCGACAACCAAATCTGGCGAGAACTATTTCGCGCGGCGTATGAACAATGCGCAAAACTTACTGTTTTCTTGAGGTGAAAACGGGTATAGTTGTAGTTTGCAGCTGTTATCCAATCTCGGAAAAAAATTAAGTGAGAGCAGTAAATAGTTAATTTCTAATTGTCGGGTTATGGTGGTAAATCTTGTAAAACAGCGTATAACAAAATATTTTTTGCCTTAAAGTGAGTTGGGGCAGGCTTGCGCGCTTATGCAATTCTTGTGTCATAAGAATAATTGGAATAAATAAATGGTGACACTCTTTTCTGGACACTGTCTAGGTCGTCTCCAAGATAACTTTGCCACGGAGACCAAATTGGTGTTCTAGTTTTGGACATAGTAAGGATAAATATGCAATTCGCTTTGTATTAGGGGTGGCAAGTCTTAAGTTCCGTCGCAGAAAACCACTGCTTGCCCTAGTGTGATGGACGTGGGTGATCCATGTTACATCGCTCGCCATATTTATAAAATGAGGATGAACTGATATCGTTAATGCTGTAGGTAGTTATAAGAAGAAGAAAGATAGCTAGGTTTATCTGTCAATTATCGCACCAATGTGCAACGGATGACAAGTCAGAAGAGATGAGTCGGGGAAAGAGATAGTTCGCTAGATTCCGCAGCCATCTGCGCAAAGGCGGAATGCAGATTAAAGAAATGAGAGATTTACAAATCTCTCTAATGCAAAATTAGAGCGCAGCTCCTGAGGGATTTCGATTTTGCCATATACCGTACTAAAGAATTTGAGGGAGGAATATCTATATGTACAAATATAAACCTCATACTCTTGCCTACATAATATATAAGTTATTTCTTTATTAAAATATTACTGATATAAGGAGGAGGAGGGGTCCTCCTCCTCCAGGCAGTTTGGGTGGGACTGGGCCACATTCCAGGTGACTCAGGATCTGTAGTATGACGAAGAGCAACATTTTAATGTTCATCGTTGCACGAGTGTCAAAACGTCAAATTTGGGGGTTTTACGTGCCAAACTAACGACGGGCATCTGGCAAGCCCCAGCGGAGGATTAATTTGGACAACCTGGGGATCTTTTGACGTGCAACCGAAAGCTCGGTTACACGGCACCTCCTCCGCAATAAGCCTCCGCCAGATTGCGGGCAGCTCGGCCGGGATTCAAACCCGCCACATAGTGATCCGTAAGCCAGCGCTCTCGCCTCGGAGCCACCGAGGCGGCTGTTGCACGAGTGTGAAGCAACCTCAACTAACAACCATCTGCTCCGTGAATTATTATACAGGGGTGAGACAGGTGAAACAGATTTTAAAGCAATTTTCGGAGCAGAAAAATCTGGATTTTGGAGCAGCTTAGAACAAAATTCTCGTTTTGGAGCAACTTGGAAGCACAAAAGTCTACAGTTTGGAGCAGATTAGGAGCAGAAAATGTTAGAGCAGCTTATCAGAAATTGAAATCATCAAAAATCTGATATAAATCACATAAATCTGAATTTTCTTTTTAATCGTCATTTTTGTCCACCCTGGTTCCAACAAGTCATCAGCGCCGATACGCACCCAAATACAAGATAAAAGAAAAGAAAGAAAAAAAAAACGGAAAAGCCAAACGCAAGTTCTATGCGCATAGATGAGGACAGAAAACAGAGGCTCGCTGCAAAGTTAGGTGGGCACCAGGTACCTCAAGCTTATACGAACTGGTGCCAAAGCGCAATTGTAGTGCAAAACATTTGAAAGCGGTGATTCCAGAGCATGAGCAGGGAAGCACGATTTACTACGACCAGACATCGATCAGACGCTCGAAGAAAGCACGTGAAGATAAAAAACACTCCCTACTAACAGTAAGCCACAAGGTAAATAGTGAATTGGTAGAAAATCTATGAGCAGCACATGCACGCTAAAATTTGGGTGTGTGACTGATTCATTCTATTGCTCACGTACTGGAAGCACGTGTGTGATAACCGAAAGTATGCACGGCGACGGCGCCGTCCATTTTGAAGAGATTACGGACAGGAATGAATAATTACACAATGGAGGCGCTCAAGCGCACTTTTAAGAAAGGTTTACTCTCAATACGAAAGAAATAATTAGGTCTGCTCATCTTGATAGGCTGTGCGTCGTACCTCCCGCGGCCAGACAGCGAGACCGCGTGACAGCGCACCGGTAGCATGCAGTCACAAATGACAGCGTAAAATACCTCGTATGTAGGTACAGAAGGGTACTACAGCTCAAATCTTCGAATCTGGTGATTGCTTGCGCCACCCTGTACTTGTGCTGCGTACTTTACGACGACGAGATTGAATGTTGCCAACCAAGCTCTCGTTTCCCGCTAAATGTAGCGTCACCGCAAACTTTTTTGTTTAGTTACTTTGGCACAGTGTGGCTAAATTTTGACCAATTTCGCGTTTTGGGCACAACTAGGCGCAGAAAATTGGGTTTGTATCAAAATGGCACAATTGGCGCAGATGTCACACCCCTGATTATACCATCTTGGTGCCTTAAAATACTGTTGCTAGTTGTCTAAAATTGCAAGAAACACTTTTTTACATTCTCCAGAAACGCTAAAACGGTCTGTGAGAGAGCAAAACAATATTGTCCAAGATTATTGGCATTGTGTCTATAAAGTTTGGGCAGTTGCATTTTCTGATCATCGCTGTTGCCAGTTGCTCCCGCTGTGCACTAAAGACCAAAATGCCCACGAGAAAATTAAGGAATGCAGTGGCAAGACTCGAAGAGTAGCTTATTTTGCAGCTCTAGCTGCGACCACATGCCTGCAGACCGATCCACCCTTCATCGCAATGCACGTCACTGTAAAGTTTCGCAGACGACGCAAAACAAGTGAGAGTTACGTGCCATCCAGTGTGTTCTGCAGCTCCAAGACCTGCGAGATAAGCCTGGCTTTTTCTTCGACTTCGTCCGGACTCATGTCGGGGTCGAGAGCTGTGGAGGAAACATAGTGTCGACCATCCAGAAGTTTGGCAGACGAGTCATACTCACATGTTAGTGCGGGGCTGTTGCTACCATTTGTGTAAGTCGAAGGAATGGACTCCACACTGTGCGTTGCCAGTGCGCTGCTTGCAGATGTGTCAAACTCGCTTTCGTCTGTGAAGAGGATGGACATCATCTCGCTTGCATGCAATCTTGCATGGTACCTCATTAAGAAACATTCTAAACTTGTTCTTCATGGCAAGGGGCACAAAACATCACAGTGAAGGAAGACATCTTTACTCTAGTGCTGCGGATCATGGCATAAAATTCACAAAATTGGTTCCAAGTTACTAAATTCAAAAAATAAAATCTTAGCGCTTTCGTTGTTATTTTTCTATCGAATAGCCATTGCAGTTTAGTTCTTTTTATGGTAAATGGCGACGTCATCCGTTACACCATGCTCTATACTGATTTAGATATTTCAAAGTATTTCTTTTTATCATGTCGCCACAAATGATGCATGACCTGCGTGCTGAGCCATCGAGGGGTGAGTCGACGTAATTGTAATTCTTGTTTCAGTAATGTAGACCTGCAGTGCCGGCCCTAGCGCCATCAAAAGTGGGGCTGCGCCGCATCCCCTCTTGTTTTTCTGAATTATTTTTAGCTTTTTGAATAATTTGAACACGGCGCCCGATACGATGCTATATATCAGGTGTAACCAAGCTGCGGCTCTTCGCGTGTTAAAGTATGGCTCGCGACTCCCTTTTCCCAGTCTTGGGTAAGTTACTTTTAAAAAGTAATTCGTTACAGTTACAGTTACTTTCAGAAAAAAGTAGCGAAGTTACCGTTAGAGTTACCGAAACAAAAAAGTAACTCGTACAGGTACTTTTAAAAAGTAACAACGTTACTTTCCTATAACACAAAAAAAAAAAAGTTAGGAAAAACTAGAAAACGCTTTTCACCAAGTTTATTGCATAAAATGAAATAGTGTGGTTTTTACTTCATATTGTAACTTAGCAGCGGTTGCTTCTCGAAATTAGTGTCTGAAGGTTTCCCTTGTTTCATAATGAACATGTCCCTGCCCTTGCTGAACAGGCGCTCGTCTAATGCGCTGGATGGGATTGCTGTTTGAAGATAAAGTAAGTAGGCAGGCGAGCTGGTTGATGTTACACATTTTTGAAAACCGGAGACGACGGACGAAGAAGGGGACAACACACAAAACGTCTCAAACGTTTTGTGTGTTGTCCCCTTGAGACGTTTTGTGTGTTGTCCCCTTCTTCGTCCGTCGTCTCCGGTTTTCAAAAATGGGATTGCTGTGTTGTTTCGCCGGAACAGGTTTTTGATTGCCGGATAGGCGTTGAGGCAACAGTTTGCCATTTTCTGCGGTCAAGTTGTTAGTAACCACCTCCACCACAGCAAAATACTCTCTGTACGCTGGCCATGGTAGTTCTTTGTTCTTATCAACATTCATATCCTTGGTAGCCCTAGCACATTGCTGGCTCGTTGACGGTTGCGCTGGGTTCATAGAGTCCCTGGACATATTTCAGTTCGTACCCGGCAAGCCAGAAACAAACCCCGTGCAAACAGCAGTAAATTTTGCCTGGGCTGCTTACACTACACCGGAGTAGTGGCGCAAATCAAAATATGAAACATTCGCAGTGCCCTCTGCGTGTATTGTTGTTTCGCGTTTGATTCACCCGATTAAAAATCGTTTGTGCAAAAAACAAAAGGAAGAAAAACCGCAAAAGAGACAGTTCTTCAAGATACTAAGATGCAAGTGTTTAGTCACAAAGTACAGTCACCGGCCATATGAGCTCCCCCGGCCAAACGCCGACCGGATCAGCGAAAATCCCGCACGCGGCGCGTCGAGCATTGCTGCGTTTTGGGAGCCGAGCTATTGGTACCAAACCATTCCGTAATCAAAGGGGTGGACGCATAGCTTTTATCGGGATTCCAGCCTTTCGAAGTGTGAATCACAAAAACATGGCCGATTGGAACTGCCGTCTTCGGGTGTTGGCCCCAAGTGTTCGGAGATGGTGTTATAACTGCTGATAAACTGGAGCTTGCTTAAGGCGTAGATAAAGCAGCAGTGTTCGATCGATGCTTACAAATGTCAAAACCCTATATTTAGTATGATATTAGGCATGACAACAATGATCCCCTGGCAAGCGAGAAGTGGCCGACCAGGAAGCCATCTGCAAAATCATCATGTAGAGAGAGAGTCACCCTTGGCGAAGCAACACGCTGCTGAGCGCAGAACAATAGAGTCTCCTCGATAAAACGCGTGCATGAAAAGTGCCTGAATCTTTATTCTGCTTCGACACAAATCATTTTTTTTTGTTACCAATAGCATATCCTTATAGATTAAATAAATTATTTCAAAATCACTTGTCATTGTCTAGTCTAGGTTTAGGAAATATTGTAAGAAAGGGGGGGGGGGGGGGGAAGCTTGTGCGTAGGATTACTCTTCGGGTAGGAAACATTTAAAATGACAAACCAGTTTCGCAAATAAAAACGTAGCATATAACACGTCAGACATATTATGCAGTGAAGAACTTCGATAAGCCGTCTGCGTTTACCTACAACCAGAAGCGGGATTCTAATCGGCCGTGCTTCAGATTCACGTTCCAAAACGCGGAATGCTATTAAAGTTCCTGCGTCTATCCCTTTGATAGCGGAATGGTTTGGTCCCAAAAGCCCGGCTCCCAGAACGCGGTAACGCTCGACGCGCCGCATGCGGGATTTTCGCTGCTCCGGTTGGCATTTGGCCGGGGGAGCTGATATGGCCGGCGACTGTACAAGCGCGTGCTAAAGATAACTACTATTTTTTTTTCACCAAATCTACATGTGGCTATATTCGGGTCGTGACTGCCGAGAAAGAACGTATTCACAAGTTTATAAAAAAAAATAACCTGACACTCGAAATGTCGGAACAAACAATTTGGAAAGCGCAAGAAATGGCTAAATTGTACTTGTCCAGTGATATATTATTCATTAAAAACTGGAAAGTAACGACAAAAGTAATGTCGTTACTTTCATCGTTACCTCAGAAAAAGTAATAGAACTACAGTTACAAGTTACATTCTTAAAAAGTAACTCGTTACAGTTACAAGTTACCAAAAAAGTAACGAAGTTACAGTAACGCATTACTACCCAAAACTGCCTCCCCCCCTTTCCCCAATCTCCCGCCTCCCTCCCTGTCACACGAGCACTTCCCAAAAAGAGAAATGGAACACGTTTGAAATCGAAAGACGGGTTGCGGTTTGGTAGTCTTGTGCTACTCCTGCCTTACGTACACTTGGACTGCTTTTGACTCGCATAGGTTGAAAGTAGTTCAAGTTCGTTTATTGCTCTAGCCAAAAGTCCCGCCCCGCCCCCGCCTATCCCTCCCTCCCTCCTCCTCCTCCTCCTCCTCCTTCCTTCCTTCCTTCCTCCCTCCCTCCCTCCCTCCCTCCCTCCCCCCCCCCCCCTCCCTCCCTCCCTCCCTCCCTCCCTCCCTCCTCCCTCCCTCCCTCCCCCCCCCCCCCCCCCCCCCCCCCCCGCGGCTCTAAAAAAATTCGTGGATTTGCTTGCGGCTCTTAGGCCGGGTCAGCCTGGCCACCCCACCTATATATGCTCGAGCGCCGTTCTTTTTGGAATACGGTTGTTTTTTTCACAATATGGTCGTATTGGGCCATTAATCACATGTTTACTAACAAAGTAAGGTCGTACCTAGTATATAAGGGCCTACAAAAAGGGGAAGAAGTTGGCCCAGGGCACTTGATGGTGGAGCCCTGTAGACCTCCTTGACCGATGAGGCACCCGGCACCACACTTCAGGCTCACCGCTTCAATGACTCTAATCACTCGCTGCTTTTAAAATCGCCCTCGCAACAGCCGAGTGAGGTTTCGAATTGGCTGAGTGGCGCGAAAGTATTTCTTACCTTGGGCGTCTTCGTCGGCCAGCGGAATGTTATTCATCTCCTCTTGAAATTTCGAAGCGCGGTTTGCAACCGACATTTCTGGATGGCCGATGGTGCACCCAAAGGTCAAATCTGGACTTGCAATGCTCGTAGTGCGAACAGATCCCTGGAATGTAATCCGTAGGTGTCGGCCGAGGTTTTCTCCTTTGACGGCTAGGCTTAGCTGCGCGAAACAAACGCCGGTTTGAAGTCGGAGAACGAGGATACAAACTCGTACCGCCTTACGGTATTGCGACAACGTCAAACGCTGACGTAACTCTCCGGTCTTTTCTATGAATACTAATCGGGCTAGGAGAACCGAAAATTCCCCAAGCAGATGCTTACGGGGACGCGTTTCTGCACTGCCCCCACAATTCTACTGCTTCTACCGAGAAAACCCGAAACGGTCAAATTTTTGTTAATTAAAAGGAAAAAAAAAAAAGAAAGGTTTTGATTCTTCTTATAATTTTTATGGCATTGAGAGAGGTTGTTTGTTTCAAATTAGTGAATTCTTCTTCGAATTTTGTTGTTGCTTATTAAACGGAAAACGTTTCGGAAGTTGTGCGTTCCACTCAACGAGGTTCCACTGGTTTCGCTTGGGCACAGTCCCCGCGCGTGTAGCTTGTGTAGCCAGTGTTTTGTCCGCACAAGTACTACTAATCTTATTTTTAGTTGTCAGTATCTTAAAGCGAAAAGCTCAGTGTGACGAAACATCAAAATGTTTCAATGCAATTCTTTGACTCCGGGCATGTAAACTCTCCGGCGTGTCATAAACCATATCATCGTCGGCTTGATGGGACACAGAGAATGTAATATCTGTTGCAGACGCTCCTTTCGCGCGAATAACGACGCTAGACAAAGATAAGGTAGTTTCTTCTTCAGCTTGTTTCATGCGTGTAAGCAAATGCAGCAGCGTTGTTACAGCGCTCGATAAGGAAATTTTCTTTTTGTGCGTATATTTGTCATATATTTAGGAATGTACGCGCGCCCGTCCTGACACCATTCCATGGCTAATTAAGCCTCCTTCGCAAACTGGGGGAAACTCTCGACAACATTCCTTCGTTTCATTCTTAATTCATCTCCGCGTTCCGAAAGCTTACAGGCTACGCGAAAGTTGTCGCCGACAAAGTTCCCCGGAGGGCGGTTCGTCGGGCGGCGCCAAGATCGCCGACACAGAGAACAAACAGCGAGAAAATGAAAGACGATGAGAAATCAAGCGAACGGAAACAACTCGCATCGGGTTTTCAGTGGGTACGCTTCCCCAGGAAACTCGCTGGGCAGACGGCGTTAGCAGTAGCTGCCGCGCTGCCTGGCTCTTGATTCGGTGCTCCCTGCTGTCTGTGTTTGTGTGTGCGTGTATGTGTGTGTTTGTGTGACTTGTCATGTCGGAGGAAGCGAGCGTCTCCAGGAAAAAAGTGCGGTTTTAAAGAAGCGGTAAGTGCATTTTTCTCAACCCTGTTTCTCCTGGACCACGCCGACCGACGACGCTTGTGTACTTCGTACGGCTGGTAGTCGCCGTGGGCGCCCGAAAGCGTGCCACACGACACGGCACTTTTTATACTTTTTGTTTTTCTCCGGGCATTGGTTTCTTCTCGCTTGCTGGCATGTCAACGACGTATCGACGGAAACTACCTGTGGATTTGGTGTTGCCGACCGTCGGGATTTCGTACGATGCAGCGCGATCGCGGCTTACGTCCGAGACTCGCGACGGACGCAGTTTTCGGTCGTCGCCTGTGAGCGGAACGAGCGTAGATTTTTCCCTCCGCCAAATGATCTGTGCGACGGACTGTGCTTTGACGATCGTCGACGCGTAGTGTCGGTTGGTCAGCCGACGCGAATGATAATATGACGCCGTTTTTTACGTATACTACTTGAGTTTCCCATAGTCCGAGTTTCTTGTTCGTGTTGGAAGTGTTTCGAGCTGGAGAAACCTGTGAGGCGAGGAAAAGAATGCAGGTGAAGAATAAACTCATCAGGATTATTACTGTTCGAATCTCCGTGCGCTTGCATTACTTCGTTAGGCTTATTTTTCTTCTTTTACTCGCTTTTTGGATACGAGCAGAAATAAATGAAAACTGAGGGGTCTTCATTGTGACTTTTGCGGAAGGGTGCATATACAAAAAATGTAGTTTCCTTTCGCTTTGCAAGTAATAGTAATAATAATAAAAAAAAAAAAAGGCCGAAAAGGGCTGAACTGTTTTATCACTTTTTGTTCGTTTTTTCGGGGTTCGCGTGCGTGTCGTCTGCTCCCGGTGTGGTAGCTGTGTGTCGTCTGCTTTCGAGATGGCGTCCGCGTTTCGTTTGTTGCTTGACAATGTTTTCTGTTTCTTTTTTTCCCTTTCTTTTTCTAAACTGGCATGGAAACTTGATTTATTGGACTTGTCCGCGACAACTCCGGGTATATGTCAACTACACAGAGCGACGGCAGGGAACGTTTGCTTGCTCGAAACAACTTAGTTTTGCCTTCAGCGGCCGACATAACTGGCGTCAGAGCCGGTGTTTTATTGTTTTTTATTCGTATCTTTTCAAAGCTTTGCAAAGAGGGCAATCCGACAAAGAAAAGCAATTAAAGTGCACACTGAAACGAGGAATATTAAATGGAACGGCAACTCGACGTGGAAGTATCCTAACCAAATTTCACTCGTAGCGAGCTTGTCTCGTTCTCTTCTGGAAGTACAAAATATTTCTCTTCGCTTGCGCATTCTCTCTGACGTCTTCGACGGATTTCTACATCTCAAGTTTTCTTTTTTTTCCTTTGGTTGTGTTTATTAAAGGGCAACTCCGCTCAATTCTGACTATTTCGGGATAATGAGTGATTTCGCATTAAAAAGCCTTGGTAAAAGACACTACAGTCGGTGACAGGCAAGGAGGTTAGAAGTACTATTCTCCATGGTGACAGGTCAAGAACGAAGTGGAAGCTCCTCCCACCTCGTTCCACTTCAGTAGTGCGAACGGTGGAGAGGGGGTCGCCTCCTTTCCAGCGTTCGCACTGCTAAAGCAAAAAGAGGTGAAAGGAGCTTTCACTTCGTTCTTGACCAGTCACCGACTATACGTCATTTGCTTTTTACGAAAGCACTGCGCTTTCGTAAAATTTTCTACGTGTTTACAGCGGCAAGTCTCAATGGTTACAAGGGGCCTTAAAAAACTTGTTTGACGAATGGCGATGGATGATTAGAAAACGTGTCTACAGCACGCTGCCGCCAGCCTCTGCAATGCTAGCAAAACTGCAAATCGTCTACGAGCAAGGTGGCCGTCCGGTGACTTCATTCGCGCGCGCTGCAGTCAGTGATATCAGTGACAACTGCTGGATCGCGCATCCCCGCTCCGCGAGTGCGGCCATCGGACGACCATCTTCATGGTAAACTTGTTCGGTTTGCTAGCGTTGTGCTGCGGTTTTCCAGCGTGCTATAGGCACGTTTTCCACTCGTTCGTCGTCATTCGCCGAAGACGCTCGAACTGGCGCGCCTAAGATCCTGTGTGAGGCATGATACTTGCCGTTGAGAACACGTGGAAATTTTTACTAAAGCGCCGTGCCGCAGGAAAAAGGCATAACTCCGTCGAAAGCAAGTTTCGCCGGTCTCGCGGCGTGTTCAAAGCTTCCCTGGCACGCCGAAGTGCCGTGTCTCTGTGCCTTCGCACGCTTGGATACCGACCCAGAATCGACGCCGTGTGGATGTGTTTTGCGAGTGCAATGTGCGTGAAACCGTATCTAACGGTACAACTCGTCGAAAGCAAGTGTCGCCGGTCTCGCGGCGTGATCAAAGCTTCCTTGGCACGCCGAGTGCTGCATCTTTGTGCCTTCGCATGCTTGGATACCGATCAAGAATCGACGCCGTACCAAAGTTCTGGACGTGTGTCGCGCGTAGATGCCTTAAGATCATTTATATATATATCGGCCACGGAGTTCTGGATCGTCCAACTGTTCGGGTGAGTTGCTATCAATAGAAGGGGTGGGGGGATCTGTACGTGTTCTTATGTACTATTAACCATGGCTATGTTCCAAATCTGCTCTAATAAATCACATGGGAGCACGAATAGAGCAAAGCTGTGGAGCAAGGAGAGTTTTCGAAGGCAAAAGCACAAGTCGGCGAGAATGAAAATCTTTCAAGCCCGGCCCATATGGTCGTGTGCAATCTGTTGACCAATCACAATTCGGCGAGCCGCGCTCAAACGTCAAGTGCAGTTAAGTAGGTGGATAATGAGCCAGCACTGATCAGTGATGAGGAGTTGTTTTGCGCAGTATTCTGTAAATCGTCTGAGGACGAAAAAGTGACGTACCTTCCCCCCCTCTTCCGTCGCTACTGGACGCTCGATTAAGCTCGTTTCTGGACCGCGAGTGCCGCAAGTATACAGTCGTCAGAGTAATGTAAGACGCTGATCCAGAGGCACATACGGCTTCGCGCACGTTGCACTCGCAGAACACATCCACACAGCGCCGATTCTTGGTCGGTATCCAAGCGTGCGAAGGCACGCTTGGTTACCGTTTTGCTAGCATTGCAGAGGCTGGCGGCAGCAGCGGCGCAGTGACCGCAAGTGAGAATTTATCTCGGCCTCAGGGTGCGCCGTGTTTAGGGAGCGATGCGACAGGCGGCGCAGGTAGTACCGTGTACAGGCCGGAGCGCTGTTTCAGCTCATATTGTCCGCGATAGTACATTTTCGCTGCCCACCGTGTATCCTCAATTGCAACTAGTCTTTGTTCAAACTTTATTTTCTGATCGCTTCTCCACTCTCGAAAGATGCCCATCCCATATCCCCCTGTACTCCCTCATTTGGCGTATTCCAGTGTGCCCCCAATGCCAACCCACCCACACTCCTTTGCTGTATCTCTAAACCTGCCTGGATTTCTGACCTCTTGCACAATACCGCATTCCCAAATGACACTCCTGGCACCATGACCATGACTCCCTTCCATACACCCCTAACGACGTCATATCTATTATAGTTACATAATGCCCTGTGTTTCATGATAGCTGAATCTCGTTGCCCCTTCTTTATTACAATATCTTCATGGTCCTTCAGATACTTTCTTCCCTCACTTAACCGTACTCCCAGATATTTGTACTTTTCTACGTGTTCTATCACTTTGTCCTGTATCTCCAGCGGTTCCCCCTTCTCGCCGTTGAAAACTAATATTCCCGACTTGTCCCTGCAGAAATTTAGTCCTCAACTGTCTCTTTCCCTGCTGCAAATCCTAATCTGTTCCTGTATTGTCTCACGACTTTCTGGATACGAGTACAATGTCGTCTGCACACATTAACCCTGGCAATGCTTGATTGGCGTTTTGTCCTTCGTCCCTGTAGGCCAGGTGAAAACCTAGGTTGCACTGCTCTAATCTTTTTTCCATCTTACTGAGGTTTATCATAAAGAGCAGGGGAGACAGTGGGCAACCCTGTCTACCGTAAGTCCTCTTTTTATTGCTGCTACTCTTGTAGTTTCGGCTTCCCGTGTTATAACCACCCTATTCTCCGTATAAACCCGTTCTAGAAACTTAGCCACGGCTCCCCCTAGCCTATATCTCTTCAGTTGGTCGCAGAGTTTTTCCTGATTCACATTGTTATATGCCCCTTTGATATCCAAAAATGCTACCCATAATGGCCTTTTACTTTACTCGCCGCAGCACTCGGCTTTCACGAGACGGCGACCTGTTCTTTCGGTTTTCGGTTCCGTTAACAGATGAGTGTTTTGTCGTTTTCTTTTGGTCGGCGAATGACGCTCCGTAGCAGAGGTTGTTTTCTCGCGTTTGCGAGCAATCTACCCGCTAACGATTATTCGTGAGAGCCAAATTCGATGTCGCGGTGACCACATTCATCCGATCACGGGGTAGATAACGCGCTTCGAGATGTCTTTAATTATTGAAATCTACCAACGACTTGGCACAATTGGAAGTGGAAGTATTGTTGGTTTTTATGTTTTAGCGCAGTTTGAGTCGGAACTCTCGCTCGAATCGTCTGTGAGTAGCTTCTAATTGTTCCCCAATTTGTTCGAAGGCACTAATGAGGTTAGTCTAAGGGTTATCGAGGAGATCGTTTGGCCGGCAGCTAATTTCCTGGAGTGGCGGCCGTGCGAGCCCCAAGCGCCGCCAACGCGCCCCTCGGACTGCAAAGGGACTTTTTTCTACGCATTCCTCCCCGCGAAATAAGAAAAAAGATTGCTCTCGGAGCTAATCTTGGCTTAATACTGTTGATAGATAGATTAAAAAGATAGATTAAATTAATAAAGGAAACAAAGACATAAGAAAACATACCCAGTATCTTAAAATGTATATGTATATGTACTGTGTATGTTTTGCTATGTCTTTGTTTCCTTTATTAATTTTTTTCAGTTGCGAGTGGAGCATTGTCCTGTTGTGTATGTTGCTCTTCGTGGTCCGCGTTTTGACGTGTTTTGCCCATCATGTACATCGAGATTTCGGAAATGCGGCTTGACTCCCAACT